ACTTTATGAGGAGGCCATGCCCACAAGGAGGCACCATAAGGCTAGACTCCAACCCCACACTTCAAGTTGAGACAAAATGATGTAACTTCCACACAGCTCACCAGGTCTTCAGTCGTTAGTGCTCACAGGGTCAAATCTGCTCTTGGAAAGGTCTGAAAATTCATGTGGGATGTGTTGAAGGTCAGATTTTGGTTCTTATGGACCTGTTTTAATTTTAACTTCAAATTGAATGTCCATATGAGCAACTAATGGTCTGGTTCACAGTTGGCCTCTGGTCTCATTTTAGCTACTGATATGGAGCTTCTCCTTCAGGTCTCCCCACAGAAGGAGTTGGTTTGCTTTTTGTGTATTCCAACTAGATAATCCAAGAGGACAGTCACCACTTGTATTGATGAGAAAGATATTGGTGATGAAGGAGTCATTGGTCTTGCCACAGCCCATCGTGCGATCTAGAACTTTATTTCTATCACTAAGGCCATATTTTCCATTTCGTTTGATCAATTTCAGGATGAAGAAGTTGGTAAAATGATTCAACTTCATCCTCCATAGTTTTAGTGATTGGTTTGTAAATTTGAATAGTTCAATTAACTGGATTTCTTTGTATATGTCTAGATATTACCCTATCACAAGTAGCATTGTACTTCAACATGGAGCTTGAAGTATTCTTTTTGACAATGAATGCCTCATCATTAAATTAAGTCCCTGAAGGCTTTACTCTATCCCCGTCATTAGCTCTTCCTCTGTCATTAGCTCTTCTTCTGACATCTTCTGGCACCACCTCTGAGAAGGTTCTGCTGCTATTCACGAGGTCCTCAGTATCGGACAATGTTTCAGTGCTATCCTTCAGATTGCAGTGGCTCATTCCTGAGAGGCAGATCTCTTAGTAGTCCGTTCTTACTTTGGAAACTCTGCTAAAACCCTTTGACCCTGGGTGATGCCACTGGTATTTAAAATATCAGTGACAGCACTTTCAGTGTTAGAGCAACACACAAGCCACCACAATCTGACCAGTTAACAGTGATGGTACATTTGAATAGCCACCTCATGTTCATGCCTTTGTCATTACATTCCTCCTCTTTGTTTAACTGGTCCTTTTCTTTGGACTCTCCTTTATAAGGCTGTGAAGTGTCTAAGAACCCCTTGCACACCTCCTGATATAGAGTCAGTTTCTCTCTGTGTGTGCATGTGTACGCATGTGTAGGTATTAAGTTAGTGTGGTAGTTACATAATCTGGTGTCAGTTTGAGAGGATTACAAATGAAGGGGTGGAGTCTGGCCCGTCAAACAAGATATAACCAGTGAAGCCTCTGTGTGGGCATGGCCTCGTTCTGGGAATTCTGGGAACTCCAGTATTTCCTCCTTGGAGGTGGAAGAGACACTCTCTCTGCTCACTCCCTGGGAGACATTGCAGCTGACAAGACACATAGCACTAAGCTAGTGCCCTGAGCTGGAGAAGCCACATGGACTTACCTTGATGCAACCAGACCTCTGAAGCCAGAGAAGCCACATGGATGCTTACAATGCCACTGGCTCCAAAGACTTCTTACCCACTGGCCTGTGACTGTCCTGCATTCAACATCATTGAATGTGTTTCCTGAGTAGTCTGAAGAAGAAGGCTTTATAGATCGGTCTCAGACATATGGACTAATATCAGACTTATGGGCTTGGACTGGACTGGGTTGGAATACTTACTTAATGTACAATTACCCTTTACATAAAATGTTCTCTTATACACATATGAGTGTCAATGGACTTGTTTCTCTAGTCTACCCAGACTGATGCACTGAGGCCCAGTTGCTAAGAATCCATTATGAAAATTTTGCTTATATTGTAAGTCAATAAGGAAGTCAGGGAAAAGATAGATAAAGCAAGAGGTGGGTGGCTACTAAAGTGAACATTTATTAAGGCTGAGCTACACATTCCTCCCCTCCTTTTTTATTTTAAAAAAATACGCATTCACTTTTAAGTACAGGCTGTTTTATTAGGCACTTGGTGGAATCTAAGGGGCCCTGTTGGTGTCATCAGGTAAACCTGGGACTGCTAATGCAAAGTCGGTGTTTCAAACCCACCAGACGCTCTGTGGGAGAAAGAGGAGGCTCTCTGCTCCCTTAAAGAATCACAGCATCAGAAACCCTGTGGAGCGTCACGGTGAATCTGAATCAACTCAGTACCAGTAGGTTAGGTAGGTAGCAGAGTAACCTAGAATGCATGCCTGCATCAACATTTTCAGTTAGGACTGTGTTTTGTTAACATGTATATCAGGCTGAAGGTCACAGAATTTGAAGCCATGTGCCTATTTTAACTCAGCTGGATTAGTAAGTCTTATTCAATAATGCTACCCCCAAACAATATTAAATTTGAAAAAAATATATGGGGAGTGTCTTCCTCTATATTAAACTAAAGAATTCACCTTTAGTGTTCAAAAATGCAAATTCCTTTAAAATAGCAAATTAACTACAAGTCCTAAGACCTTATTTTATTGAATATGAATCCCACTGGCATTTACTCTTAATACATAATTAATATAACTTAGCTCCGGCAATGTAGTGAGTGACAGATTGACAGGTGGAAACTCTGATGGACGTGCACATCTCTGCTATAACTAGGTTTAAAGTTCTGCTTTGCATATTTACAAGCTTAGAACATAGTGAATTTACAGCAGGGATCTAAAGTTTAATTGTAGTTGGGGAACGTGAATCCTCCCTCTCCATAGAATGTAATTAAGCACTTTCATTTGTCCTTAAATTCTGACATATTTGTCAGTGCTTGAGGCTAGATGAGCCTAAAGTCTAAAATAAAGTGGCCTATCACATGTATATGTGTGTGTGTGTGTGTGTGTGTATATATATGTATATATGCAATTTGGTTGAAAACCATCTTTGAAAAATATTGTCTATAGTGGTTGTGGCGGGGCTGATATGAACTATTGAGCTATATGATGTGTAAATTACTTTCAAATAAAACTGCTGGAAAAATATATATTGTCAACCTATGTCCACTATAGTTGGTCCCAACATCTTAAGAACTAGGTAACCTAAATGTGTGCTAATGTTTGTTCGGATGTAACAGATGATTTAGAAGAGAAGAGAAACTGAAAAAGAGCCACTTTGAATCCAGAGTGGGTTCCATTTATTAGGCCTTTATTAATAACAAAAGTATGTTATTCTTCCTTTTAAATGTGGAACATTAAGACTCTGTGACTTTGAGAAGATGAAATAACAATTTGACTGTAATGCATCTGATGGCTACCAAGGAATAATTTTTCATGTATTTTATAGAGTGAATCATCCAGTTATTGAGAGAACTAATTTTTGCCCAATGCTTGAGTAAGTGCCAGTACTGAATTCCACTCACAGCTTTTGCTATCAGCACTTAAAGTGTCCTCATTAGAGAGCATCCCTCTGTTTTCTTCGCTGTCCAACAAGCCTGTTAAGCCTTTCGATTGTGTCTCTTCCTTGATGGAACAGGAGGCAAACCTATGCGACTTACAAAGGACCCCCTTTCTTGGGTGCAAGTTTCTTTGTTTGAGTTGAATTATTAATGAGCAGCAGCATATACACTTCTAACTTTTTTGTTAATGCCGGAACAGAACAGTGAAGGAATTAGGACAGCTATATTAATTAAAGTTTGGGGTTTGTTTTTATTCATATGAGAAAATATCTACAGGAAATCATTGTCTCACTTGGATGTTTGAAACATTAAAGAGAATGAATAGTAATATGTGGTGGTGTGTTTTTGAGTCTAAGAGGCGTCTAAGACCCACGCATCCACACCGTATGTGCATGTTTGATAGCATAGAACCGATTGTCCAAAAATGTGCTTGGCCTTAGGTCTCCCTAGGGACTTCAAAGTCGTTTTCGAGAAGATTGACTAAGGAACTTTCACAGAAGCAGAGTGGCACTGTCCCTGAGTATGTGCACAAACACATGCCTTTCAAACTTGCTCTGGTCGTATGCTAATATCCCATTTATTTAGATCTCTCTATCACAGATGTTAAGGAGGCCCTGGCGCTACTTTGGGATAGACATTATGTTGCCAACCACAGTCTTGGCTGCTGAAACCCACCAGCATCTCTAAAGGATGAAGGCTGTCTGTTCTGGAAAGTTAAGCAGCCTGGGAAAGACTATAATGGGTGGCTATGAGTCAGACTAGGAACTTTGGTGCTGTAGTAGGTTATGCACTGTTCTGCTACCACAAGGTCTGTAGTTCAAAACTACCAGCGGCTTGGCAGGAGAAAGATGAAGCTTTCTACTCCTGTAGCAAGTTTTACAGTCTCAGAAACCCACAAGGGCAGTTGAACTCTGTCTGCCCCATAGGGTTGCTCTAAGGAAGTGAGTTTTTGTTGTGGTTTTGTGAGTCAGATTCAAGCACCTAGAGGTGCTGTTGTGTAAGTCTTGGCCTGCTAATGCAAAGTCAAAAGTTCTAAACCCACCTGTTGCAGCTGGAGAAAAAGCTGAGGCTGTCTGCTCCCATAAATATCGACAGCTATGGAAACCCTCTGTAATGTGTTATGAGTCAGAATTGACTGCAGGATAGTGGGTGTGGGTTTGGGCATGCTTTAAAGCTACTAGTTTGTGTAGCTTCCCCGAGCCTTTTCTTCCTGGAAGAATATAAAAAGTGACAAAAGGTGTGTTTACTATTTTCTAGGGAGCAAATACACACGGAGGGAAGGAGAACTGAGACTATTGTAATGTAACTGGGCATGCAAGAATTCTGGTGGCCCAGTAGGTTGAGTTGTCTGCTAACCTCCTTGGCACTTGGAATTCTCCATCCACTCTCGGGAGGAGAAAGACTTGGCAGTCCTCTTCTGCAAAGAGTCCCAACTTCAGGCACCCCCCACCACCCACCCCCGGGGCAGTTTGGCTCTGTCTTGCACAGTCACTGCACCGCGATATGATCAAGTCCCTGGCAGTGTGCTTCAGTGGGGTATATTTTAGTAAAGAAAAACTGCTAGAGACAGGTCCAAAGAATCTTTAAGTTACTCAAATTTGTTTTCAACAGGTGCACTTTTGGTACCATTTGTCTGAGCATTCACGACTCTCAGTTTTCACAAGAACTTCCCTGGATGGACGGCTACAAAAGCTCGGTGATCTAATGGAATTCTCCAGATCCAAGTGGCGCCAAGCAAAGATGGAGCTCCATGTGGAGACTGCGGAATCAACTCTGCCTTTTCAGGTCAGTGTAAAATACATGAATGCAATTCAGCAGAAAAGTCGTTTGATTCGAATTCTCTCAGTAAAGTAACGCATGTACATTGTAAGTCCATTCGACATCAAGAAAGGAACCACATCCATGACTAGAAATGAGTATAGAGTTTGTTACTAAGTGCATAAGACTTAAGTTGGGAAGAGCAACAAACATGAAGGTAAACATTTCATCAATAGAATGAGAGAGAGAAGAGTAATTTAAAGGGAAAATATATTTTCATCGTGAAAATATCTGACTTTGATACTTACATTTAAAGTCATTTTGCCCAGTTTTGTTTCTTTGGGATTTTTCTTGCTGTCTATTAATCTTGAGGGTTTTAGCAACCATTTTTGCTATTTTCTAGATTTCTAAAAGAAAGCAACGGTTGCTTTTCAAATGGGTATCCTTACTGGACAGGTTCACTTCGGGTTGAGGTTTGAAAAGCATGCCTTTAGATATTTGGTTTGATGTGATATAATGAGAAGCACACTGGTTTTTAATTCGGATGGGCCATGTTTTGATCTCTACTGGTGCGTTGGTTAGTAAGTGGCTGTTACGGTAATGCCTTTGAGCCTTAGCTTTTTCCATCTGCGAAAATCACAGTGGGGATTAATGAAAACCTCCCCAGAGGCTGAACATTAAAGAGATTGTAGCTCACATAGTGGATCAGAAGTTGAACTCTAAAATGTAGGCTGCAAAACAACGTGTACAATCATAGAAAAGTTGCTTAAGCCCTCTCTACTTATGTGTTTGTTTGTTTTTCTTTCTATCCATAAAAGAAAAGGAGGATAATTGTTGGGACTTTAGAAACTCCCGATAAATTATATACCTCCTGTGGGCTTACTTGATGCATCATTTCTATACTGAAGTCAAAGAGCAAACTATTTTTTAAAGAGTTAGAGATTTTAGAACCTGAAGTCATGTATTTAAAACACGTCTTTAGAACATATTTACACCGAGACCACGATAAGATTGACTTAAAGGACAACTGACGGGTGGAGAAGTACAGAATACTCACTGGAGCCTCTGGCCAGAAATAAGATCGGAATGCATGTCTTACAGATTTGCCTAGTTTAATTTTCCAAAGGCACCCCTGAAATAAACCTCCTTCTTCCATGAGAAAGAATAAGAATGAGATTGCAGTGAAGCTCCTCCCCCAGGTGAAGATGTGAGGAATAGGGTATAAATACCAACTCCTATTATTGTTATAGTATTTACAGAGGGGTTATGAGGACTATGGGGATTGGTTGTATTTAAACCTGTAAAGTACCTAAGAGAGAATGTAGCATTGAATAAGCACATGCAATCTAATATTATAAATGAGGTCCTTATTTGAATATTGGGGACAAGAGTAGGCAATCAGATAGGAGCCGTGGTGGCAGGGTGGTTACATATTGGGCTGTGATCTGCAAGGACAGAAATTTGCCACCACCCGCAGCTCCTCAGGTGGAAGACGGAGGTCTCTACTCCTGTCTGAGGAACGGCTTCAGAACCTGGCAGGGGCACTTCCGCCCTGTCATCCAGAGTCACTGTGAGTTGGCATAGACTCAAAAGCAGTGAGAGAGACCGTCAACACTTGTGAGCATCTTGTTTAATTTTACTTTTCAGAGCCTTTCTTAGCTTTCTTAACTCAGTGAAGGCCCCCAAGCCCCCCTGACTCTCAAGGATCCTTGATTAGATTTCCAATGATGGGCTCATTTTTAATATGCAGAAGTACCACTAATCCATTTATTGTTCATTGGAAAGCATTAGATAAAAGGGTTAGCCAGGGAATGATTAGTGGAAAGATAGTGCCGATCTCCGTTCCATATGAAGGGATAAATAAAAACAGAACAAGTTGACCCCCTTTCTCATGCACTGAAGTTATATATAAAGTAGTTTTTTGTTAGGCTTACCTAAATTAAAACGACACATCCCAATAAGAGCTTTCAGGGTTTATTGTTAATTGACATTTCTGGAGGAAAGCATAAGGTCCTTTGTTAGAACTGGCTATTCAAGAAATGTTATTAAATTGAAGTGATTCAATGATCTGTTACCGTTATTGAACATTTCATCACAGTGATTTTCCTTCCCATCCTGCTTTTGTTTGGCATTGCTTTCCCATACTAATTAAGACAACGGCTTGCGGCTGGTCAGTTTATTGGCTGGCTGGGTTTTGTAACGCGGCAGCAGTGAGAGATGGTGGTGATTTCTAGCCCAGACTGCTCGCCTCTTTCTCCCCTCCTTGGCTCTCAGTAGGACTTGGCCTTGTTGGCAACTGATCAACATCTGTTTCATAATACAATCCTTCCTTTATCTACTGCTGTCTTAAAAGAAAACTCGCGAATAGGTGTTTTCACAGTTCTGGATGCCAGAAATAGGAACCCTGGTGGCCTAGTGGTTATGCTTTGGGCAGCGATATGCATGGTCGTCAGTTCCAAACCATCAGCAGCTCTAAGGGAGAAAGACTGGGCTTTCTACTCCTATCAACAGTTACAGTCTCGGAAAACTCACAGTGGGTTGTCCAGAGTCGGCATGGACCCCATGGCAGTGAGGTTTTGTTTCGTTGTTGTTTAGAGACTAAATGTCCAAATCAGATTTCGGTTTTGCCAACTCCTTCCTAGTCATAGCTACTTGTGGTCTATTGGTTTGGAGATAATCTTCACACATTGCATGAGGGTTTCTTTCTCTATTCTGCTCTTTCTTTAATTCAGAAATAATTAGGTTTAGGACCTATCTCACCCTGATATAACAGCAACTAATTTATTTGTTGATTTATATTAATAATAAATATTAATAACCTTGCCATTTACATTAGATTCCATTATTGAACCACACCTGGATACGTGTTTGGCCCAAAGACTGGGAACCATAGCCCCCTCAAGGGGACACATAAAATAGCCAATGTAGAAGGGAGAGGATTCCGAGTTCTTCGAAGGCCCTCAGTAGTGGCTGTGGAGTCGACTCCATCTTTTGGTGACCCCTTGCCCGTCTAGCAGACCTGTGCTCCACCTGTCAGAGAACTGTGCTCCATACCGTACCGCTGTGTGTCAACGACTGATTGTTGGAAGGAGATTGTCAGGCCTTCTGAGCTGCTTCTGCGTGGACTCTAACCTCCAGCCTCGCAGTTAGCAGCTAGCACACTTATTGTTTGCACTACCTGGGAATTGTTAGCTGTGTTTAATTCCTGCTGAGAAAATCACAGAGAAGTCTGCATCTCCTCCTCCTCCTCCTCCTTCTCCTCCTCTTCCTCCTCCTTTATTCTCTTACCTGAATGTTGACTGTAGTAGCTTTGTTTTAGAAATTATGGATAAATAAAAAGAAAAATGTCATGAATAGCATCCTCAAGAAGACAATTAGAGGCCCACAGTCTTATTTCAGCAATTCAGAACACAAACTTTGCCAGTAATAGGCTGTTCAAAAATTATTTTGGAGCCCAAACCTACCCATATCCATATCCTACCAATATGATGTGAAGTCCTAGGGCAGTCCATTGAGTGACGGTCTGCAAGGGAGAGTGCTGTCCCACATCTCCTGAGGGTGCGGTACTGTCTTATCTACCAGCCTATGCCCCATATTAACAATCTCAACTCTGACCTGCCACAAATTTCAAAGATCAACAGGCTGCAAAGATTTGTGGACCTGGCTTTGCATTCGGTTGTTAACTTTCTCAGATTGCATATACATACCCAAGTCTTATTTAATCAGTTTATAGACATATTATTAACTCAAAAGCATGGAAAGTATAAAACCCACCCTTTCTTGTCATTGATTCTGGCTTATAGTGACTGTATAGGTTTTCAAAATCTATACGGGAGGACATGGCCTCATCTTTCTTCTGCAGCACGGCTGATGGTTTTGAACCATTGACCTTTTGTTTAGCAGTCTAATGCCTACCTGGCAATACCACAGGGAGAACCAAATACACAGGTGTTCACATCTCAGAATTAACTAATGTTAAAGTTTTGTTACACTTTCTTATACAGTTACAGGCTGATCCTCTTTTCCATCCATTATTTATCCTCTGCAGGGGAAAGTATGCTAATCTTATGTTGATTTTAATAGTATTTTTCTCCATGTATTTTTTTAAAAATGGGAAACTTTCAATGAGGAATCTGTCCAAGAAGCCTACATTATTCTTCTATCAGCATAAAATGAGTATGCCATTGTATTACAAATATTCAATCTAGCATGTAATTATTCAACCATTTAAAGTTTATTTTCTTGAAAACAGGCTAGGATTTGAGCTCCTTAAATTATGTGGACTGGGAAAATGTAAGACATGACAAAATAATAATAATTTATAAATGATCAAGGGTTCATGAGGGAGGCGGGGCAGGGAGGGAGGGGGAAAATGAGGAGCTGATACCACGGTTTCAAGTAGAAAGCCAATGTTTTGAGAATGATGAGGGCAATAAATGTACAAATGTGCTTGACACAATAGATGGATGGATGGATTGTGATAAGAGTTGTGTGAGTCCCGAATATAATGATTTAAAAAATATATATGTGGACTGGGTTGTGTATGGGTGACCTCCATCACTGAAGAACTCTGCTGGAACTGGTGGTACTGTGACACTCCAGTTCGAAACCACCAGCTACTGCTCAGGAGAAAGTTGAGGCAATCGGCTCCTGTAAAGCTTTACAGTCATACTTACCTGGCAGGGGAGATACCATGATCACGAAGGTGGTTTTCCCAGGGCGAGGCTTATCCATTGCACTCCAGATGTGCTGACCCCTGCGGTTTCCCCAAATGTGGGAAACTCGACTGCATACTTTGTGGTAGTGGGGGACTGCGTTCACGCTCTCCCCTATAAAAAAAATAAATAAAGCTTTATGGTCCTGGACACTATACAGTACGGTGATTCAGAAGGAACTATCAGAGTTGGTTTAGTCATTCACGAGACACCAGTCCAAGAGGACTACACCCTGACTATATTTATATAGAATAATCCAACACACGTATGAGGAAGACGAAAAAAGTTGGGCTAGATCACCTCTGTGTTCCC